TCAAAAACCAGAATTAAATATCCCCTTTTTAAAAGTTGCAATAATAGCTTTATATATATTTGTAAACTATTGATATCCCAGTCTTTGATTTTTAAAATTCTGATCTCACTATTGTTTAAAGGTAAATTTATATAGCACATGAAACATCAAGTTTTAATAAAGGTTAAAAGAAAGGAAAACTTTCCATTTTAAGATTAAAGGCTTCACAGAATAAAAACTTGCATTTAACCAGATAGGATACAATCTTACCCTGAAAGAAGCCAGATGGAACTATTTATCTTTCAGTTTTTGACACCCATTTAAAAACAAGCCTTACTACATTATTAACATGGAATACTGTGAAATATACTCTCTTAGGAGAAAATGGAACATACACTCAAAACGATACCACTAGGTATGAAATGGAAATGACTGACCTGTAGGATTTTTTAAAACCTTAATGTTTGGTCATCTTAAATTTTATTTTTACATTTCCAGTAGTAACATTTAATTTGGGGATTATCAAGCTAGGACAAAGTTTTATAACTTAATAATCTTGGATTCTGAGTCATTATAAAATGAAAGTAGAAATGTGAAGAATACTTGGAAATTCATTTTCATCTGTCATGTCTAATTCATCCTCCTCCTCCTCATCTACTTGTTGATCCTTTTTCAGTCGGTAGGTGGAGGATACCTGTCCGGTTCCAGGTACACACTTGGCTGACAGAGATTTCTGAAGAGGTGACTTTGAATTTGCTCTTACAATATCTAAACGAGATGAATAAATCTGGTGGATACACTGTGTTTCGGAAAACCTCTAAATCTTCTTCCTTGTCAATCTTTTGTATATTTTGGAAGGCAGCAGTGTAGACCTCTAAAGCTTTGCCGTGAAATAACATTTCAATAGTGATAAATTCTGAAAATATATTCTTTATGCCTTTTATTTTCTGTTTTTCAAAGTTGTCAATTGTTTCCTCCAGGTGACGTGTTGTTTGGGTAGCATCCATTGTAGCTCTCTGTAATTCTGTTTCAGCCTGTGAAATAACATGTCGATCAGATGGCTTTCGCTGACGTGTCCTTTCTAACTGGGTTAACTGCTTAGCTTCTCGATTCCTTGCTGTTAATGTGGCTTTGAGGTCGTCCCCTTTCATTTTTACAATGGTTCCGTAAGCTTTCAAAGGTTCAGCTACTTTGGCTTCAAGTCTTTCAACCTCTGCTTGTCGATAATCCTGAAGTTTGGCAAACTCATCAGCAAAGTTTTTTAGGCCCTTTTTTTATTGGGGGGGGGGGGGTGGTCTCTGTCGAGGCGTACACGTTGATTTCATTCACCAGCAGGTCCGCTTTGTCTCGCAGTCTGGCAGTTTTGCGCACATACGCAGCAAAGATTTGGCACAGCTCTCCAAAATGCTTCTCCACATTCGTAACAGCATCTTGCAGTTGCCTGGTTTGAACGTCCCGGTTCTCCAGGCTGCGCCTCATCATCTTGCCTCACGCTGGGCCGCGGACCCTGGGCGGGACCCAACGGTGGGGCCGATTTGCATCTCTCTTATTACCAGTGATTTTGAACTTTCGTCATATGTCTATTGACCATTTGAATATCTTCCTCTGTGAAAATTCTTTCCATATTTTTTTGCCCATTTTGTAATTGGATTATCAGTCTTTTTCTTGTGGAGATCTAGGAGTATTCTATAAATTTTCATTATGAGACTCTTGTCTGAGTTAGTATTGCCAAATGTTTATTCCTAGTTTTTTCACCCTGTTGGAAAAGTTTTTGATAAACACAGGGATTTAATGTTTAGAAGGTCCTATTTTTGTTGTTGTTGTTATGTGCTATCGAGTCACTTGTGACTCATAGTGACCTTATGTACATCATCCCTAAACTCTGCTCTGTCCTGTGCTAATTGCACTGTCTCTGACATTCCCATCCTGATTACCCCAGTCACTGAATCAATCCACCTCATAGAGGGTCTTCCCCTCCTGCGCTGTCCCTCCAGCCTATCAAGCATGATGTCCCTCTCCAAGGACCAGTCCCTCCTTACAACATGTCCAAAGTATGTTAGATGGAGCCTAGAATCCTTGCCTCCAAGGAGCTTCCAGGTTTAGCCCTTTCCAGGATGAATTTGTTTGTTTTCTAGCAGTCCATGGTAGAAGGTCCTATTCATCAATTTTATCATCTTCAGATTGTATATTTCTGGCTGGATTTGGCAATCTCTTTATACCGTAGAATAGGGCTTCTAAGCTTGATCCCAGCTGTTGAAGAGGTTGTCATTTCCCCATTCAATTGGTTTTATTTCTTTCTTGAATATCAATTGGCCATAGATAGCTGAGTCTATTTCTGAGATTTCAATTCTGGTCCATTGGTCTATGTGACTGTCATTCTACCAGTACCATGCTGCTTTGGTTACTACTGCTGTGTAGTAAGTTTTGAGGTCAGTGAGTGCTATGCCTCCCACTTCATTTCTGTTTCGCAGATTGTTTTGCTTATTTGGGGTTTCTTTCATCTCTAAATAAACTTGACAATTTCCTTTTCGATCTCCTTGAAAAATGAATTTGGTATCTGTATTGGGACTACATTAAATATGTAGATTGCTTTTGGTAGGATTGTAATTTTCATAATATTAAGTCTTCTTATGCATGAACAGGGCACATTTTTCCATTTCTTTAGGTCTTTTATTGTGTCTTGCAGAAATGTTATGTAGTTTTCTTTATACAGGCATTTTGTATTTTGAGAGTATGACTTTAAAATCTCCTTGATGAAGCAGTGGGATTGTGGGCTGGGCTGGCCTGGTCTGAGGCCTGGGGTCTTTGGAGTCTCCCTCCACTCTGGAATTTGGTTGGCTGGCTGGCTGACATTGCAGTGGTGGTCTCGCCTTGGTGGCAGTCAGGCAAGGAAGTTTCTGGGGTCCATTTGTTGTGTGTTACCTGTGGGTAGAGGCCGAGGCCTGCTTGAGGGTCTGAACATTGTGACATTGATGTGGCGAATGTGAGAATGGCTACCCATGGAGGACAATGTTTGGTGGAGCTCCCCGATTAAAACAAGCTTGGAAGCAAGAGTGGCATCCACTTCTGAAATAGCTTGCCTCTGGACCCTATGAACCTGGAGAAAGGATGAAAGTTATACAAGTGTCCAGATTTTTGTTCATAGGGTGGCCTATGACTCGACGACACTTAACAACAACAGTTGTTACTCCCAAGTATCTCAATTTGTGCTTGGCTGCTGTAAACGGCACTGCTTTCTTGGTTTTCTTCTCTGAGTTCTCTTTGTTACTGTAGAGGAGTCCCTCTGATTTTTGGTTACTGATCCTGCCACTCTACTAAGTGGGCCTGCTAACTTTAACAGTTTTTTGGTTGAGTCTTTGGATTTTGGTTTGGTTTTTTTTATGTAAACTATCATATCATTTGCCTATAGTGACATTTTAACCATATCTTTGCTGATCTGGATCATTTTATTTCCTCCAGACTGGGCTTATAAGGAGCCGTGGTACTAGGGATATTGTAGCTGATGTTAGATGGATCTTAGCTGAAAGCACTGAATACCAGAAGAATGTCCATCTGTGTTTCATTGATTATGCAAAGGCATTTGACTGTGTGGATCATAACAAACTGTGGCTACTCTGAGAAGAATGGGAATCCCAGAACACTTAATCGTGCTAATGAGAAACCTATACTTGGACCAAGAGGCAGTTGTCAGAACAGAGCAGGGTAACACTGCATGGTTCAAAATTGGGAAAAGTGTATGTCAGGGATGTGTCCTATCTCCATACCTTTTCAACTTGTATGCAGAACAGATTATCCGAGACGCTGGGCTCTATGAGGAGAAGTGTGGCATCAGGATTGGTGGAAGATCTATTAACAATATGTGTTATGCAGATGATACAACCCTGCTTGCTGAAACTGAGGAGGACCTGAAACACTTGCTGCAGAGAGTCAAGGACTGCAGCCTTCAGTATGGATTGAGGCTCAATATCAAGAAGAGAAAGATTCTCACCACTGGACCAATTGGCAGCATCAGGATGGATGGTGAAGAGATTGAGATTGTTAACAACTTTAGTCTGCTTGGCTCCACAGTCTACACTCTTGACACCAGTACCCAGGAAATAAAAAAATGTATTGTAATGGAGAACAATGGTGTCACTCTGGAGACTAAGGTGCGTCTGATACAGGCCATGGTCTTTGCAATCATTTGTTATGCATCAGAGAGTTGGACAATGGCTAAGGAGGATAGAAGGAGAATTGATGCCTTTGAGATGTGATGCTGCAGAAGAGTACTGAGGGTACCATGGACTGCTAATAAAACAAACAGATTTGTCCTGGAGAGGGTTAAATTGGGATACTCCTTGGAGGCAAGGATTCTGGGGCTTCGTCTGACATACTTTGGACATGTTGTAAGGAGGTACAGGTCCTTGGAGAGGGCCATCATGCTTGGGAGGGTGGAGAGACTGCACAAGAGGGGAAGACCCTCTATGAGGTGGATTGATTCAGTGACTGGGGTAATCGGGATGGGTGTATCAGAGGCAGTGTGATTGACACAGGATAGAGCAGGGTTTAGGGCTGTTGTACATATGGTCGCTATGAGTTGCAAGTGACTTGACAGCACATAACAACAATTTGTCGTATTGCCCTAGCAAGCACTTCTAGTACAATATTGAATAGAAGTGGTGACAGTGGACATCCTTGTCTGGTCCCTCTTTGCAAGGAAAATGCTTTTAGTCTTTCTCCATTGAAAATTATATTGGCTCTTGGTTTTGCATATATACTTTTGACTATGTTGACGAAATTATCTTCTATTCCAATTTTCTGAGTATCTTAATCAGGAAAGGTGTTGGATTTTGTCAAATGCCTTTTCTGCATCGATTGCTAAGATCATATGGTTCTTATTATTTACTTTTTATATAGTGAATTATGTTGATTGGATTTCGTATGTTGAACCATCCTTACATACCTGTTATGAATCCCACTTGGTCATGGCAATTTTTTTTTTAAATGTGCTTTCTGGATTCTTTGGCTAGGATTTTGTTAAGGATTTTTGCAGGTATACATCAGGGAAATTGGTCTATAGTTTTCTTTCTTGGTCATATCTTTGTCTGGTTTTGATATTAAGGTTATGCTTGCTTCATAAAATGACTCAGGAGGCTTCCTTCTTCTTCAGTTTTTTGAAATATTTAATAAAGTTGGTGATAGATCCTCTTTTAATATTCGGTAGAATTCAGCTACGAAGCCATCTGGTCCAGGACTTCTTCTTTTTTTTTTTATGAGGAAGTCTTTTTATGACTTTTTAAGATATCAAATGTTCTATATTTGTCCTTGTCAATACGGGTAGGGCATGAGTTTCAAGGAATTTGTCTATTTCCTCTAGGTTTTCAAATATTTCAGAGTATAGCTTTTCTTAGTATTCTGATAGTATTGATTTAATTTCCTCTGCCTCTCTTGTGATGTCACCTCTATAATTTCTTAATCGAGTTATCTGGGTCTTCTTTTTTTTCCTTTTCTTAGGTTACCAGTCATTTGTCAATTTTATTGACTCTTTAAAAAAAACAAATCCTGGTCTTTTTGATGATTTCAGTTGTTTTTCTGTTTTCTATGTCATTGACTTCAGCTCTTGTCCTTACAGTTTCTTTTCTTCTAGAGACTGTAGGATTAGATTGTTGTTCTTTTTCTAGTTGGTGAAAGGGAGACTTTATGGAGATATGGAGCTTATTGGAGAGCAAGTTGGTAATTATAGGTTTCAAGCCTCTATGGTGCTGTGCAGAGATAGGGAATTGGGGTCTAATGGGGAAAGAGAGGGGGTCCTCAGAGTGACGAGAACAGGTTGGTGGTAAGAGGCTACAGATGGGGTGGAAATATCCCATTCAATAGGGTTGACAACATCTGGTGGTAGACATAATGTAGGAGGGGGCTTGGATGGAAGGAGCACTACGAGGGATAAAACTAAAGGCTGGTCAAGTGAACTAGGTTCAGTTGACTTCCAGTGGAACACATCCCCAAGTTTAGACAGGAGGTCCCTGCCTGGCAGTGGAGTTGGGCATGTAGGAATAATTAGAAAGGAATGGGTAGTATTAATTTGTTGAGAGTAATGAGGAGAGGTTGAGTAGTAAAAGGCTTGTAATGGAGGCCATAAATCCCCTTTACTGAGACCTGGGAAGGGAAAACAGGACCCAAGAAGGAAGGGAGTACTGAAACAGTAGCCCCATGTCAACCAGAAAATAATCTGGTTTGTCTGCTATCTGAAGGGTTACCCTGGACTCAAGAAAGGTGATAGGGGTCATTGAGCTTGGGTATCTTATCTTCAGTCTTCAGTGGCTAGGTCCAGGAGGTCGGTTAGGATGGAGACTGGGTCCCATGGATGGGCTGCCCTACAGCAGCTAGACACTGAAAGGCAGTCATCCTTCCAATGACCCAGTGTCTTACAGATAGGGCAAGGCCTTGTTGGATGGTGAGGGTGAAGGCGAGGGCACTGGTTAGCCCAGTGGCCCTCTTTGCCACACTTGAAACATGCACCCGGAAGTAACTGGCTCTTTGAACAAGCAGGTGTTTTCTGATCCTTCACTGCTCTCAGCCTCAAGAAAGCTATTAGGGCTTGGGCTTGCAGATCTGCTTTCTGTCTGACACGAGTCTCCCTATCTGCTTCTGCCTGTTTTTCTAAGGCATTGAAAACTTTAAAGGCCATGTTTACCAAGTCTCGAATGGGTGTTTAGGGACTGTCCTCACCTTTTTTAGTTTCTTTTTGATGTCAGAGGCTGATTGGGTGATGAAATGAGTATCTAGGACAGCCCCTGCTGGGGTGGTAGGGTCTAAGCAAGTGTACTGAGTCAGGGTGCACGGAGATAGTTAAGGTGGGTTCTCATCTTTAGTTTGGGCAATCTCTCTGAGTTTGTAAAAATTGACTGTCTTCAAAACAACTATGAGATATCATCCCACCCCAGTCAGAATAGCAAAATTTAACAGAACAGCAAGCAACAAATGCTGGCGAGGTTGTGAAGAAACTGGAACCCTTATTCACTGTTGGTAGAAGTGTAAAATGGTGCAACCACTGTGGAAAATGATGTGGCACTTTCTCAAAAAGTTGCAAATAGAGATACCATTTGACCCAGTTATTCCAATACTGGGAATATACACTAAAGAGACCATAACCGACATCTAAGCAAATATATGCACACCTATGTTTATCACGGCTTTGTTCACAATAGCAAGGGTTTGGAAACAACCCAAGTGCCCATTAACAAACGAATGGATAGAGAAGCTGTGGTATAGTCACACAATAGAATACTACACTGCATTGAAAAACAAGGAACTCATGCAATATTATTCAAAATGGGTGACCCTGGAGGAATTGTGCTGAGTGAAATATCTCAGTCCCAAAAGGACAAATACTTCATGATGCCAGTGTTGTAGAATAGGACTGACATGAGGGTTGAAGTAAGACTGAGAAAAACTGGATAAATTATGTATACTGCTTTGAAACAGATGAGGGAGAGAACAATCTAAAAATGATATATCATAGGGTATTATGGTTATCACAAGAGTCCAGAATTAAGGTTGCATAGTGGAGTGTACTCAGGGCTGTGGGAGAGGTGTGGGGGGATTGTATACCAATAAAGAATTTTCCTTTTACTTTTCAAAGAGAGGAGCGGACTGGGGTGGGGAGGAGGAGGGCTGGGCAGGGGAAAAGGCGCAATAATGAATGAATGGAAATCTAAAATCTCTGCAAATGTTCATTAAAATTAATAAAATAAATTTTTTTTAAAATTGACTGCCTTATGGAGATAGCATGTAGTCTGGCTAATAGTCACTGACTCATATGGTCACTTTCAGCTTGACTGTCCCTTCCTGGTACAGACATCAGACTGAGTCCCTCCGCTGTCTCCTTGGGAAGTTGCAGGCAGGTATCAACTTGGTATGTCCAATGTGGCTCTTGCTTGGAGGTCCACTGGCATGGTACTGTCAGTTAAATGTACTTGGTCTGCATGGTTCTGAGCAGCAGTGAGAGCATGCTCTTTCTTGTCTGGTGTCAGAGCACAGGATAGTACAACAAAAAGGTCATGCCAGATGAGATCGTAGGTCTGAGTCAGGTACCCAAACTCCTTGATACAGACTGTGGCATCTTTGGAAGGTGAGCCTAGATGGTTTTTTGATTTGGGAAAGATTGGTGAGGGAGAAAGGCTCATGAACGTGAGTGGGACCTTCAATGCCTGCAACTTCCCTGAGGAGGCAGAGGGACTCAGTCTGATGGGACTGGGTGTGGCTAGCAACAGGAGAGGTGGGGGTGGGAGTGGGAGTAGCTGTGTCTGTGTTGATTGGAGTAGAAGAAAGTGGAGCAGGAGGAGAACAAAGAAAGTGCTCAATCTGGCAGGAATGCTTGTTGGATTCAGGAGACACTGGGGAGAGGGGAGGGAAAGGCTGAGAAAGAAAACCTACAGACTCTGAAAAGGCAGAGTTTTCCTGAGGGGAAGGGGTTGGGTCCTGGGAGGGAGTAAGGACAAATCCAGTCAGCAGCCACACACATAACAGGAGAGGGAGAGGGGGAAGGAAGTAGGATGTTATGTTACTGTTCAAGCACATGGACAGTGTGGGCTGGTAGGTTTGAGAGAGAAAGGAGGTGAAATCAGAACTGAGACATAAATGGAGATTGTGCACCAAGGTTCATAGCAGTGTTATTCACCAACACAAGAAGATGCAAACAGCTCAAGTATCCAACCACAATGGAAAGTATTGAGAAATTATGGTACATTCACATGATGGAATACTGTGCAGCTCGCAAGAGTAATGAGTTGATAAATCACTGCCTAACTTTGGAGGGACTATACTAAGTAAATGAACTCAGTCCCATAAGGACAAATACTCTAGAAGACTTATTATAAGAAGTGTATGAGGATCCAAGTGGGGAAGGATGAGAGCAAAGTGGTGATGATGGGCAGGGAAGGTGGTTAATCACAGGATCACAAAATTTGATGGATGGAGGGAGGGATGGGAAAAGGAAATGGAAAGGATCTGTTGTGTAAAAAATGTAAATGAACTTTGTAAGTAAACTAGTATAAAATAAAAACTTTATTAAAAATAGAAAAAAGAAATAAGATTTGTACTGGGAAAGTGTGCTGCCAAGGACCTCTCCAGAGTACTTAATAACAGCAATGCCAATCTAGAGACCAACGTGCTCCTGATCTAGGCTGCTATGGTCTTTGCAATTACTTGCTATGTATCAGAGAGCTGGACAATGCCTACAGATGACAGAAAGAAAAGTCAATGCCTTTGTGTTGTGATGCTGGAAAAGAGCATTGAACATACCATGAACTCCCAGGAGAATAAACAGGTTTGTTCTGGAGAGGATGAAGCCAAATTGCTTCTTGGAGGCAAGGATTTTGAAGTTCCATCTCACATACTTTGGGCATGTTGCCAGAAGAGACCAATCCTTGGAAAAGGATATCATGCTTGGAAGGGTGCAGGGTCAGCGCAGTAGAGAAAGAACTCGGATGAGGTGGTTTGACTCAGTAATGGGGTAGAGGTAAGTGTGTCAGAGACAGTGAGATTGGCTCAGGATAGGGTGGCAGGGCTAGATCTATTGTGTATACGGTTGCTATGAGTTGCAGTCAACTCAATGGCACATAACAACAACATCTTACTTCCTGGTGTCTCTAGATTGTGGGTAATGTACTCTGTTGTAGATTCACTCCACTATCTTTTCCCAAACAATTAGACGCTGGAAACTCTACTGACAATGATTCAATTTTTAACTATGGAGTTAGGGATGACTTGGTGGCAAATGGTTTTATTTAATTCTTTATGCTCAACAACTTATTGTTTAATATTATGGAGTTGGAATTACTCATAGCTGACTTTCCACTCTGCACATTCCATGAAAGGAGATGGCTCATCTTTTTCCTGCAGAGCAGCTAGTGATTCAAGTTGTCAGGAAGACATGGCCTTTGGGTTAACAGTGGAGTTCCCTATTTACAATTCACCAAAGCATTCTCATCCTTATAAGTATACTTTAAATATTTCCAATAAGTAAAAGTTTATAAGAACTTAAGATAAGTCTAATAAAAATAATAATTAAATTTAAAATAAAAATGAAAACTGCACATAAAACGCTGCTTTGAATGTTATAAATACCCTACATCTGCCAGTGAGGCCTACACTGACAATCAGCAGCCTCAGTCCAGGGCTCCCTATCCTTCAGGCCTTGTGTGGCAGTGGGTGCACAAATAGAGCCCCTGATTATGTCTTACCTGCCCACGAACCCTTATTGTGGGGAGCAGGGCCTACGGCATGGGCATGAAGTGTATCTGCTGGATGCTTGGAGGACAGCAACAGCAATGGTTGGGTCCTCACGATTGTTCAGGGTTGAGATGTGCAGACAGCTTAACAGCTGGCTTTTATAGTCCTTGATCCTCTTCAAATACACGTCAAACATAGAAGAGTTGATTTTTACCTTGCATTCCTTCTCTAGGAAGACAGAGAACTTAAGCTTGTTCTCCTGAGAGGAGAGTCAAGGGAAAGGATGGCCTAGACAGGAAATGGAACAATCTACAACTCTGTTCAAAACATGGACTTCTGAGGGGAATGTGGGGGAAACTCCATATTAATATTAAATATATCTCTCTCTGTCTCTCTCTCTCTCTCTCTCTCTCTCACACACACACACACACACACACACACACACACACACACTCACATACTCATTCACTCATAATGATGGCAGGTCTACAAATTAGAAAACAAAACAGAAGCTGCAAAACTAGAGCAGAGTTGAAAACCCATAGGACAAGAAAGTGATGTGATGGTGTTCAGTGGAAGTTAAGGAAAGACACAGAGAGGATCTAGAATGAAGGACTGTGAGTCTCTCCCTCTGCATGGGCAATGGGGCAGGAGGTACAGTGTGGTCCAGCAGAAGACCAAAGGCCTAGACAGCACCCCTGGCACCAACCTGCACAGCAAGACATGCTGCAGCTCTATCCCTGGATTCTCTGCCACAGTTCTCATGTATTTGCTTAAAAGGCTTCAAAAGACTAATGCTGGCCTGATTTGTTGAGCTGAACAGAGTCTGGTTGCTGCTGGACATGTTGAGATGTATTTGGGAAGGACTGTGATCAGACATTTGTAACTGACTCTCCACAAAGGTGCCCAAGCTTGACACAACCCTACAGAAGTTGGCTGTAAGTCACACCTGGGAACAACCATCAGAGTTCCAATGGGAATCCTGCCCCAGACAAGGCTCGGTAAGGAGGTGATGCTCTAAATGTCAGGCCCATCTCTTTGACCTTGGCTATATCCCTGACAAAGGTGTCATCAACTAATGGGAGCAGCTCCAACAAATGGGGCTCAGGATAGTCAGGAAGCTTTCCTCAATTTTCTAGAAAAGTAAAAGAGACACTTCTAATCATGCCAGAAGTACAGCCCTTGGATCCTCAATCTCATCACCCTTTCCTCTGCTACTCCTGAAAGGCTCACCCCACAGGCCTGCACATTCCATCTCTACAGAAACACCATCCACACTAGGCCTCCAAGACACTTAGCAGCCCTGCGTCGGCAACTTCTAAGCCCAGACTCTCATGTCCTACTAACTCTTCTGCTAGGAAGTCTCATTATTCATTAAACTCAAGTGCCTTGACTCTGCCTTCCAAATCTTTCCTTCTCAGGTTTTCTCTCTGGTACACTGTCAACTTGAACATAACAAGCTATGTAGCTGGTCAGAGTGACAACACATCCTCCTTACTGCCTATGCATCCCTCCAGCCTCCTTTTGCAACCCCCTCAATCCCAACTCTCTGTACTCTCCTCCTACATTCACCTAAAAATTAAAATCTCAGTGAGTGTCATCTGCTCAGTCTTCTGTTACTAACTCAAAGCAAAGAGAAAAATCCCTGTCAAGCCCACTGTCCCATTAGCCTCTCTTCAAACTCTGCCCCCTTCAAACCTTGCCTCCTGCACCTGCCATTCCTATTCTTGGAAAGCACTGCCCTCTTTGTCCACCAACACACATTGGACCAGAGAACAAATCCACCTAGACTCACACCTGGCACCTTCTACATGCCTCAGGTTTTCAGGAAGACTCTAGGAGCACACGCATGCACACAGAGAGCCTCAGGCAGGCAGGCTTTCTCTACATGCTCCCAGGTACCATGTGAGTTTCAGGACACCTTTATCATCATTGTAAAACTGATGTGTCTGCCTCTGAAGGCTGGGAAAAACCTCATAGCTGCTGGCCATCCAATGTTTAGATATTTTCTTCTTGACTGAAGTCATCTGTGAAAAGCAAAAAGCCTGCCTGTTTGTTGTATAGACTCCTCACAGGAAAAACTGGCCTTTTTCATACATAGGGTTGTGCTGCTGCATCTGATATACCCTCATAGTCTCCTTCTTGTAGCCCAGAGGTCACTTCTAGATGCCTTCATTGTCCATGTACATGACATTCCCAGGAGCTGCTACTGGTACTATGAGTGCAGGAAAAAGGCCTGTTTAACAGCCCCAACAAAAGGCTAATGAGTCCTGCTCAGAGGCAACCTCACCACCTAATCCTGCTATTGTGTCCTCATAGTGTCAGCTTCCTCCATCAGATTCAGTGTCCTCATAGGCAGAGATATGTTCTTATCTGCCCTCGACAGTAATGTTAGCTAGCCCAAAGTGGTCCAACAGGAGCCACCAGTGAGTGACACCATTGGTCTTGTTCTGAAACATCTCTGGCTCCAGCTCATTATAGTCTTTAAAGCTAAAAATACAGATGATGAGTAAGAATTACAAATGCTTAATTCCAAATTTGGTGAGCAGTAGACATAAAGACTTTTTAATGAAATACCCTGAAGATTTCAAATATCAATGTTTTAGTTTTACTTCCTACTGCTTCTGAAAACTTGCTGGAGGGCTAGCTATGTGTCAGTTCTGACTTGACAGTGCACAATAACAATAAGTCAAAGTGGTTCAGTCACTGCATCTGTTCAGGTGGTATCCACAATGACTTCCTTGCAGATTGTTCACTCTGTCCTTATTAACTGGCCCTTATGATCCTAAGATGAGCCTCTGCAGACTACTCATAGTCAACAGGGACTTAGCTTCTAGTCAAGACCATGGAGAGTGTGTGGGTTTAGAGTTTTAAAAGCCAGCGCTCAGTTTTAGTATCTGTAGAATAGGTATACAATTCAGAAGTCTGTTGTGAGGATGAAATAATGCATGATGCAAGACCCTTTCCAGCACCAAAACCACAGGCCCATTAAATGGAAAAGTGCTAGCCTCAACCTCCACCCACCAAGACTTGCAACACCAATTGATGCTTCATGTCCTCCCCAAAACAACATTTCACACTTATCCTTCAGAAACCAGAATCCTGTCTGGACAGATGAAAAATGGGAGAGACACTCCAATAAAGCCATCATTTAGACTTTTGTGTGGCAGGTACATGGGAAATGAGGACTTGAGGAGAAGACAGAAGTCATGGGGACAGAGCACTCAATGGATTGCTTTACAGTCTCTGAGTGGATCCTGGTCAAATTACTGACAGCATGGTGACAAATGTACCATGTCTTCTCAGTCACAGATATCCTCTACAGATGATCCACATCATCAAGGAATAGTGCTGCTACTCTCTTGGTATCATATGGAGGGTGGAACAGCCTCGTGACCAGGAATCCCAGGGCCAAGTGAGTAGCTGCCAAGTCCTAGGAAATTCTGTCCCCTCTGAGAAACCTGGCCCCACAACACATGAAGCCACACAATTCTACTATCCAAACTCCACAAAAGGACTCACCAAGAAGGGCTGGGCCGATGGCCACCCAGCACTGCTCTGTCAGGGGAAGACTAGCTGACTGGCCAGGCAAAACGCTGAGCCACAATTTGACTCATGAGAAAAGGACTGAATAAATGGGGAAATGAAAGCTTCCTTAACAAATGATTTTAGGAAAATTGGAAAACTATCTGTAGAAAACTCAAGCAAGACCCATACTTCACACCATACACAAAAACCAGCTCAAAGTTGATAAAGGACCTAAAAGTAAAATCAAAGACAATAGACTTCATTAGAGAACAGCTTGGAAGAACTCTAGAAGCCCTAATTCACAATATGAACTGTTTTCCAAGCATCTTGAAAAACCTACAACCAGGAGAAAATAAAATAGATGAATGGAAACTTCTAAGAATCAAATCCCTATGTTGTTGTTATGTGCTGTCGCGTTGCCTGCGACTCATAGTGACAATATGTACAGCCCTAAACCCTGCTCTATTCTGTGCCAATTTCACTGTCTCGGACACACCAACCCTGATTACCCTAGTTAATGAATCAATTCACCTCATAGAGGCTCTTCATCTCCTGCACTGTCTCTCCACCCTTCCAAGCATGACATCCCTCTCCAAGGACTGGTCTCTCTTTTCAACATGTCCAAAATATGTCAGATGAAGCTTCAGAATCCTTACTTCCAAGAAGCAGCCTGATTTCACCCTCTCTAGGGTGAACGTGTTCATTTTCATACTTCTTGTTGTGGTGGTTATGTGCCATAAAGTTGCATGCAATTCATAGCAAACTTATGTACAGCAGCCCTAAACTATGCTCTGTCCTGTTCCAATTCCACTGTCTCTGACACACCCACCTCAATTACCAGAGTCACTAAATTAATCCACCGCATAGAGGGCCTTCCCCTCCTGAGCTGCCCCTCCATCCTCCCAAGCATGATGTCCCTCTCTAAGGACTGGTCCTTACAACATGTCCAAAGTATGTCAGAATCCTTGCCTCCAAGGAGCAGCCCTGTTTAACCCTCTCCAGGATGAACGTGTTTGTTTTCCTAACAGTCCCTGGTACAGTCAATACTATTCTCCAGCACCACAGCTCAAAGGCATCAGTTCTCCTTCTATTCTCCCTAGTCATTGTCCAACTCTCTGATACATAACAAGTGATTGCAAAGGCCATGGCCTGTATCAGACACATCTTAGTCTCCAGAGTGACACCATTGCTTTTCAGTGCTTTGGAAAGGTCCCTAACAGCAGAATTTCCCATCGCAATACATCTTTTTAAAAATTTTTTTATTATTAATTTAAATAAAAAATTACAGACACTTTGGATTTCCATTCATTTATTGTTGCAGTTTTCTCCCTGCCCAACCCTCCCCCCCAGTCCACTCCCCTCTTAGAAAATTGAAAGAAAAATTCTTTCATTGTTTTACAATCTCTCCCCCCAGGTCCACTCCACTATGCAGCCTTCACTCTGGACTGCCATCGTGACAAAAATACCTAATCACATATCACTTTTAAACAGTTCTCTCCCTCATCTGTTTCAATACAGTATACATTATTTATCCCATCTTTCTCAGTCTATCCCCAACTCCGACGTCAGTCATATTTTACAACAGTGGCACCATGCAGTATTTGTCCTTTTGTGACTGAGGTACTTCACTCAGCATAAGGTTCTCCAGGATCACCCATTTTGAATAATATTGCATATGTTCCTTGTTTTTCAATGCGGCGTAGTATTCCATTGTATGAATATACCACAGTTTCTTTATCCATTTGTTTGTTGATGGGCACTTGGGCTGTTTCCAACTCTTTACTATTGTGAACAAAGCTGCAATAAACATGGGTGTGCATATATCTGCTTAGGTGGCAGTTATGGTTACTTTGAGGTATATTCCCAGTATTGGAATTGCTGGGTCAAATGATACCTCTATTTGCAACTTTTTAAGAAAGCATCATACCACCTTCCACAGTGGTTGCACCATTTTACACTCCCACCAACAGTGAATAAGGGTTCCAGTTTCTCCACAACCTCACCAGCATTTGTTGTTTGCTGTTCTATTAAATTTTGCTATTCTTACTGGGGTGAGATGATCTCTCATAGGTGTTTTGATTTGCATCTCCTTTATAGCTAGGGATTTTGAACATTTCTTCATTTGCTTATTGGCCATCTGAATGTCTTCTTCGGTGAAGTGTCTGTCCATATCCTGTGCCCATTTTTCAATTGGATTATATACCTTTATCTTATTGTGGTGCTCAAGTATTTTATAAATTCCGGATGTAAGTCCCTTATCTGACATGTCATTACCAAGTACTTTGCCCCAGTCTGTGGCTTCCCTTTTTACCCTGTTGGAGAAATTTTTGGATGTGCATAGGGATTTGCTTCTTAGAAGGTCCCATTCATCTATTTTATTTTCTCCTGGTTATAGATATTTCAGGATACTTGGAAGACTATTTATATGTTGTGGATTAGGACTTCTAGAGTTCTTCCAAACTTTACTTTAATGAAGTTTATAGTCCTTGGTTTCAGTCCTATGTCCATGATCCATCTTGAGTTGGTTATTGTGTATGGAGTGAGGTGTGGATCTTGCTTGAGTCTTCTGCAGATACTTTTCCAATTTTGCCAACCCAATTGGTAAAAAGGCTGTCTTTTCAACCAGCCATCCCCACTGGACCCACCTGGGAAAACACTTTGCAGTTCAGAGGGGAGCAAATGACAAGAAAATATCTTCTAACAGAACAAGAAGGCAAGCAGCTTTAACCCAAGACCACCAGTAAGGTGATAAAGTGTCCTTCCTTTTCCCCTTCACATCAAAGCCCCTG